TTTTTTCTTTTCTTTTTTTTTTTTTTTTTGTCAAGCTAGTGCAATCACTCTATTTCTCAGGAGGAAACTATGACAATGTCAGGTAACACATTTTCCTGTGATTGATTAAGACCAGGCCCTTGCTCTCTCGTCTGTTACTTGTTTTTCACCATACACAAGAATCTCACTTTAAAAACTAGGATATATGGGAAGTTGCAATTTTCTTTGTGGTTAAATGATTATCTCTCATATTCTTCTTAATTCTTCACACAAGTTCTAATATATGAAAACATCCTGATACACAGTAGTTGTGCTAATTCATAGGACTTACTTGAGTTATTTTCCTAAATGATCTGGAGTCAATTATCTCCTGGAAATTACCACTAAGCACTATTATTGAGTGCCCCAGGCAGTATTCCCAGGGGTTTCCTCTACTGTCATAAGTATCCCCACATATTTTCCAAACAGAGAGGGTTTTGTTATAAAACAGAGGAGTTCTATCTGTATATCAGTATCTCAAGTAAATATGCTCACTTTTCCTTGCCTGCATCTGAAACATCATTAGACTCTTACCTGATTTCCTGGTTTTCACATCTGGCTTATGAAAATAGTATTAACTTGTGAGTCTTTGCCATTATTTTTATTATCTGTCTTCTTTACTTCCCTTAATGAATTTACTGCCACTTTTCCACACAATACCCTCATTTATTTAATAAAAAGTATCAATAAAAATTAGAATAAAAATATAGATAAAATGTGGTACTCACACAAATATGTCAACCTCTTTATTTTTTATGAATCTCTTTAAAAACTTATTCCCTAAAATTTTAATAAAATCAATCACAGTTAATAGAAGCAGAAGGTGAGTGGGTTGCAACACCAAATTTAGCCATTGCCAACAGTGCAGGCAGTGGAAGGAGCTACTCAGCATATGATCCAAAGGTTTTGCATGAAAATGTTTATTTAAATTTATAATTGAATATTTAATTATGGTTTATTGTGTTTACTTAAATTAGAAATCATGATTTATGCATATTATTATTATTCAGTTAATACTTTCACCACATATATGCATGTTATGTTTTTTTTTTTTTTTTTTTTTGCTAAGTACAAAGCTTCATTGTTTAAAAGTTATAAAATAAACAACTGAAACTTTTTCATCAAGTAAAATATACACATAATCATAATGTTGTTATTGCTATTGCTATTAAGTGCTGTAGAGCTCATTCTGACCCATAGCAATCTTGTATAGTTTCATCTAGGAATGGCTGGAGGCTTTGAACTGTCAACCTTGCAGTTAGCATTCTGATGTTTCTAACACTACACCATGAATTTAATAGTTCAGCTCTAACTTTAGGCTATCTCATTGCATATTATGAAACATAATGCAATCATTTGTTGATAAATCATTCCTCATCTTTTAAATCAATCTGTGCAGTCACCACAATTATTTAGAAGAATGAATTAATTTTAACTAAATCATAAATTAAATTAATGTGTGAGTGGATAAATACATTTAATATATTAATGAACAAAATATATCTGCCAACTCCTCATATTGAAAAATACATACTTCAAGTCTATGCCAAAAGGGCAAAGACTGCTTTCCTTTTACTCTCTCAAGGAAAATCACATTAATGCAATATTCCAGTCACTCAAGAAAAATAATCATATACAGGTATTCCATTTAGGTTTGCAGATAAAAAAATGGTCTCAAAGTTTTGATGCCTTTAAAAGGTGTCATTGAGTCAGTTCCAATTCATAGCAGCTTATGTACAACAGAATGAACCTCTTCCTGATCCTGTACAATCCTCAAAACCTTTGCTATTTTTGAGTCTATTGTTGATGCCACTGTATCTATCCATATTGCTCAGTGTTTCCCTCTTTATGCTGACCCTCTACATACCATGTATATACATACATGTATGCATGCATAATAATCCTTCTGGAACCAGAATTGAAGAAAGACTAATTAAACAACTTGTGATAAGTAAATGACAATGTTTTGCTTGCTGGAAATGAAGACGACATGAAGTATTTAGTTATGAAGATCAAAATTGCAGTGTTCTGAATAAATCACACCTCAATTTAAAGTAAACAAAAATCCTCACAAATGGACCAGTAAATACCATCCGTGTAAATGGAGAAGAGATTGAAGTTGCCAATCACTTAATTTTGCTTAAATCCTCTATTAACAGTAATGAAATGAAGTCAAGAAATCAAACAATGCATTATACTAATCAAATCTGATGGAAAACATCTCTTTAAAATATTAAAACATTTAAAAAGAAGATGTCACTTTGAGGACTAAGGTGTACCTGAGCACCATAGTATTTTCAATTACCTCATATACATGTGAAAACTGAACAATGAATAAGGGGCACTGTAGAACAGTTAATGCAATTGAGTTATGGTGATGGTGAAGAATATTGAATATACCATGGACTGCAGAAGAAAAAGCAAATCTGTTTTGAAAGAAATATGGTCAGATGTCTTCAGATCTTAGACTTTAGGTATGTCAAGAAGAATGAGTTCCTGGAGAAGAATATCATGCTTGGAAAAGTGGAGGGTTATTAAATAAGAAAAAGATCTTCAACAAGATGTGTTGATACAGTGATGGCAACAATGGGCTCAAACAGCAACTGTGACGATGACACAGCACTATGCACTCTTATGTTCTTTTGTGCACAAGGATGGTATGAGGAGAACCCAACTGGATGGCACTTAAACCAATAGCAATCCTTCATAACTTATTATGGTAGTTATGAAAGAAAACATTTCAAGCATTTCTGTGTGAGTTCAATATGGATTGTATGCAAATGATAATCATTTTGCATAAGCTGCACAGGAATACAAAAAGTCCCATTTTTAATTTTCTAGAACCATAAGGTTCATTGTGATACATTTAATGGTTGCATCAATCAATCAATAAGTACATCCATTACATTTTCATGTAAATTCTTCATTTCTACCTATTTTCTGCCCATAATATATTGAAATACATATTTAGGGCAAACAAGACTTGACACTTAACACAGCAAGGAATAAAAATGGAAACAAAACAAAGAGCATCAGTACATTTCCCTATATTAACTGTCACCAAAGAGTGCACTTTAAGGATTTGTGTAATATTTATAGAGAGCTTCTGCTTGAAATATATTTTGAATATTATAAATATATGCAACAGATTTTGAAACTCAGCAGAATTATGATAAATACTTATTGTAATAGCAATAAGAGATAATGGGAAAGCATTAGTGAGGTTTCCAAAACATGGGACCAGACAAAGACACAATTGGAAGAAAAGATGAACAAGAATAAAATAAAGAACAGGAACAATGAATGAAGGTAGTAATAGGATGGAGAGATGAATTACAAACTAAATAGTTTGTAATGCAGTGTTGTTGTTGTTGTTAATTGTCGTGGAGTCAGTTCCAACACATAGCTACCCTGTACAGGGTTTCTGAGGATGTAAATCTTTACGGGAGCAGAAAGCTTCATCTTTCTCCCGCGGAACAGCTGGTAGTTTCGAACTGCTGACCTTGGGGTTCACAGCCCAATTCGTAACCACTAGCTATCAGAGCTCCTTTTGTAATGCATTAAGGCTGTGGTTTGGCACTGATAATTGAGGAAGTATATACTAAACATACAAGTATCATTAATGGAAAGTGTGGCTATGATAACGTACAAGAGCTTAACAAAAAAGTAGAGATGTAACACAATAAAAAAATTTTATGTAGCATACTCCAGTGTTGAGGAGGTGTAGAAAACTGAAAATTGAATAAGATCACACCTGATTTTCAAGTGGGGATGTTATTGGAATGAGACAGGTATGTACTAGCAAAGAAAAATGTTGTTTAGTTTCAAGGCAAGGTAGAAATGCATGCAAATGTTACTACAATAAAAACCAAAACTCAATCATATTGTTAAACACTATTGTAAAGGTTTAAGTCAAAGAAATAGAAGCAAAAGCTTAGCAAATTAATTGATTAGAGACATAAAAATAAATATTTTGAGAAGAAGAATCTAATTATTCCTTTTACATTTCTAGGATTACATGGAAATGGATTAAAAACTTCAGATAGAATGTAATAGAGAACATTGTTGTGCATAAGTGGAAGAGAACAGAGGATAAAGACTAGAGTTGATGAATTCACCATGATAATGAAGAATCTATTTCACAGAGAAAAGATGAATAAATATGAATAAGAATTATTCTGAGATAGATAAAATAGTAGGATTAAATATTTTATGGTATTTTAACATGTACTTTATAAAATGCAATAAATTGGGAAGAGACAAAACAACATTAGTGTTTTATTTTATGCAATGGGATGAAATATAGATAATCATAAATTGTCCTCTGGTGGAGACATAATATACTGTTAAGAGACAACAGAAAGTAGGGAAAAGTATAGAAATACTGTTTCAGACATTTATCATGGTCAGTTTACTACTAAATAAGTAGGAAGTCAATACAGATATGAACAGTATTATTTTTGGATTATGGTGATAAAAATTATTAAAAAATTAGTCTTTTGGATTCTATACTACTTAGAAAGAAGACCTTCAATCAAACAAACAAATGAATCCTGGTGTGGCATTGTGGGCTAATGCATCAGACTTTGAACTGCAAGGTTGGTGGTTCAAGCTCACCAGCTGCTCCTTGGGAACCCTATACAGGGTCACTAGGAGTCAGAATTGGCTAGATGGCACTTAAAAACAACAAAATATATATAACTTTGGAATTAAAGTATTTACTTTACAGTGCAATATGTTATATTGAAATCCATCCAAGGTCATGGAATTATCAATAACTATTGTAGAAATCATTTATACAAATACTGAGAATAAATAAAAAGCAACTAATATTATTTTCTATTAATCTATACCAATTAAATGGAATAATTTTGGATAATTGCAAATCCAGAATCAATCTTAGGCTTTTAATTCATATATTTATGTTTTATGTATTTAGGATTTTTGTCTATGTCTCTTCTGTCCAAAGAAAAGTTCCAAAGATGCCTAACTCTACCACAGTGAGTGATTTTCTGCTTGCAAGATTTTCTGATGTGTGGGAACTCAGAGTGTTGCACAGTGTACTATTTCTACTGACCTACTTGGCAACATTGCTGGGGAACCTTCTCATTGTCACAGTCACTACCCTGGACCACAGTCTTCACACCCCCATGTATTTCTTCCTTAGGTATCTGTCTATTGTGGATATGTGCTACATTTCTGTCACGGTACCCAAGGCATGTGTCATCTTTCTGCTTGACAGCACAATAATCTCTGTGGTTGAATGTGCAACTCAGATATTCCTTGTAGCTTTGTGTGGTTTTTTAGAATTAACTTTCCTCACTATCATGGCCTGGGACCGCTATTTAGCTATTTGCCATCCCCTCCACTATTTTGAGATCATGAACACTCAAGTCTGTATACACATGTCTCTGGTCTCTTTACTCAGTGGCCTGGTCTATTCAGGATTCCACACAGGCCTCACATTCTCTCTTCCCTTTTGTCAATCCAACATAATCCATCAATTCTTCTGTGATATTCCTTCTCTACTCAAGCTCTCCTGCTCTGACACCTTCATCAATGAGATTATAACTTTTGTCTCTTCAGTCATAGTTGGAGGTGGCTGCTTTTTCTTCATTATCATGTCCTATATTTGCATACTTACTACTGTCCTCAAGTTTCCAATCAGAGAACTAAGAAAGGCTTTTTCCACCTGTGTTCCACACATTCTTGTGGTGACAGTCTTTCTCAGTTCAGGTGCTGCTGTGTACATGAAGCCAGTCTCCAATTCACCAACAATTCAGGACATGATCATTTCTGTGCTCTACTCGGTAGTCCCTCCCTTCCTAAATCCTGTTATTTACAGTCTTCGGAACAAGAAGATAAAGGAGGCTGTATGGAGAAGTATTAACAGATTCACTATTTAGAAAAATAATAAAATCATTATTTCAACACATTGTTATTTGATGAATCACATTTACAATAATTCAAAATTATTTTTCTTGTATATTTTCAAAATCAGGTACCTCACTTGATTCCTCATTATTGTGTTAAGGTCCATTGGTTTTGTTCCTACCTATAGCAACTCAGTACAGGGTTTCTGAGGAACAGCTGGTGAGCCTGAACTGTCAACTTTGAGGTTCAAACCGACTTTGCAGTCCAACGCATTAACCACAGGGCCACACTCACATGCACACACACACACACACACACAACACACCCTTATGTTTATGTGATTTTTTCTCATATAAACTGCATATTCCTTACATCTAAACATAAATGCTAAAGACATTTTTGTTACATAGTTCTTTAGAATTATGTAGAGAGTCCTAGAACAGAAAAAGTAAGAAGTGATTTTGTTCACAATGATAAGAGAAAAACTCATCATACACTGCTATTCAATAATTTGTTGAAAGTATTAGTAAGAGCTGTAAGGCAACAGAGTCAATTGTTGTTAGGTTCTATCAGTGATGCTGTGTACAACAGAATGAAACAATGTCTGGTCCTCTGATAATCTCATGATCATTGCTACAATTAAGCCTGTTGTGTGTGCCACTGAACCAATATATCTTATTGAGGGTCTTTCTCTTTTTTTCCAACCTTCCATTTCATCATGTATTTTATCCTTCTCCATGGACTGGTACCTCCTGATAGTATGCCCAAAGTATGAAAGATGAAGTCTGTTTGTTCTGGTTTCCAATGAGGATTCTGGATATATTTCAACACAGATTTGTTTGTTCTTTGGACAGTCCATGGCACTTTTACTATTCTCCTCCAACACCATAACGCAACTGCATTAATTCCTCTACAGTCTTCCTTATTCACTGTCCAACTTTCACAGGTATATGAGGATAATAAAAATACCATGGCTTGGCAATAATGGCATCCCTACTGAGCTCTGGTAGCGTAGTGGTTACGAATCGGGCTGCGAACCTGAAAGTCAGCGGTTCGAAACTACCATCAGCTCCGCGGGAGAAAGATGAGGCTTTCTACTCCTGTAAGGATTTACACCCTCGGAAACCCTGTACAGAGTTGCTATGGGTCGGAACCGACTTGATGGCACTTAACAACAACAACAACTGGCAAAGTAGAAGTAAAGCTGTCTCTATATGTAGGTGATATGTTTCTATACTTCAAAAGCCACAAAGACTCAATAAGAACATTAATGGAACTAATTGAAAGATTGCTGACAGGGTGCAATATGAACATATATAAATCAGTTGTATTCCTTTATACAAAGACAACTCTAAAAATAAATGAGAAAAAATACCATTTACAATAGCCTCTCAAAATATGAAACAATTAAGAAAAATCCAATCATAGAAACAAATGATCAATACAAAGAAAACTAAAAAATACTCCTACAAGAAGTCAAAGAGACCTACAAAATGGAAAAATATACCATCCTCATGGGGAGGAAGATTTAGAATTATGAAATGTTAGCACTGCTCAAAGGAATTTATAGATATAACGGAATCCAAATCATTATTGAAAGAAATGAAAAAGAAAAAAAGAACAACGCTAAATGTTTATGGAATGTAAAGAGATCTGGAATAAGCAAAACATTTCTAAAAATGAAGCAAGTAGGAGGCCTTTTAATTCCCCATATAAAATCCAACTACACAGCCACATTAATAAAATCAGCCTACTTCTAGTACAATGTAAAACACACAGATCAATGAAACACAATTTACAAACCAAGAGTAAATCTATACACCTGTTATAAACTGATCTTTGACAAAGGACCACAGCACATGAGGTAGTCTCTCCAAATGATGCTGGCTAGATTTTCTAGTCTTTTTCTCACCGTGGCAGTTTTCAATTTTCTTAAATCTTGTAGGCAATAAATCCTCAAGATTGTCCTGATCTTTCAGTAAATTTATCAAGACAACCCCAACGGGATCCTACAAAACATTTGTTATAACCTTCTAACCTGACTTATCTGTATGGAAATTAAGTAATCCAGTGATTTACTCCTTCTTGATGTTATTGTTGCAATGGTTTCCACCCACAACAATATTATGTAAAAAGGAAACACTGCCATCCTAACAATTTTCCTTGCATTTGAGACAATTTTTGCTTCCACTGTGCCAATCCTTCTTGCTGGGTATCTTCCTCTTTTTCTCTGACTCTTCACTTTACCAAGCATATCCTTCTCTAGGGATTGTCCTCCCCAGATAAAATGTCTGAAGTATGAGAATTGAAGTCTCACCATGTTTGCCTGTTAGGTGTACTTCATCCAACACAGACCTTTTTGGTCTACTGAGAGTCCATGTTATTGTCAATATTCTTTTCCAACAAAGATATTAATTCTTCTGAACTCTTTCTTAATCATTGTCCAACTTTAATATGTGTGTGATATAGATGTAACCACCACAAGCTGAGTCAGATGCTCTTAGTTCTTAAACTGATAACCTTGTTCTTGAACACCTTAAATAGATCTTGTGTAGCACATTTGCCTAATGTAACATGTCATTTTATTTCTTGACTGCTTCTAGTGAATTGTTGAAAGTGGATTCAAGCAAAATGAAGTATTTGGCAGCTTCAGTTTTTCTCCATTTATCATGGTGTTATTTATTGGTCCAGTTGTGACAATTACTGTTTCCTTTACATTTAGGTGTAATCTGTAAACTGTGGTCTCTACTCTTCATCAGTAAGTATCTTAAGTTATTTTCACTTTCTGCAAACAAAGTTGTATCATCTGAATATCGCAAGGTATTAATGAGTCTTCCTCCAATTCTAATCCCACACTCTTTTCTCTTTTCCATATAATCCATATTCTTAGATTATTTGTTCAGCATACAGATTGAATAAGTATGGTGAAAGAATACAACCCTAGTGCACACCTTCCCTGATTTTAAACCATTCATTATCTATTATTGTATTCAACCAACTTCATCTTGGTCTATGCACAGGTTCCCCATCAGCACAATAAAGTATTCAGAAATGCCCATTATTAGCAATGCTATCCATACATGAAAACCATTGAATAATCAGTAAAGAAGTGAACCTCTTCTTGATACTGTCTGCTTTCAGCCAAGATCTATCTGATGTCCGCAATGATATGACTAGTACTGCATTCTTGTCTAAATCTGCAATGAGTTTTCAGAAGTTCTCTGTTGAAGTACTTTTGCAGCCAGTTTTTAATTATATTCAGGGGGTCTAGATGGAAACTGAGGATGGGAGGTTCTCAATGTGTAGGGGAGTTAGGGTTGGGGTAAGGACTCCCAGCAACTGAGGACATCTCTCTTCCTCTAGTGCTCTTGCTGGGGCTAATGGTCCGGGGGGTGGGGTGGGGGGGCTCTTATTCTTTGGAGGCCATGTAGACCATAATATCCACCACCCTATTGCTATAGCTGAATTCATTGTAATACCAGGAAATGAGCTTCACAAAGTGGTCATTGAGAGCAAGGCCAGCCCTAGCATTAAAGGTGGAAGAGTGAGTGTCACTGTTAAAATCACAGGAGATAACCTGGTCTTCAGTGTAACCCAGGATGCCTTTTAGGGGTCCATCTGATACCTGCTTCTCCACCCTCTTGATGTCATTGTATTTGGAAACTTTCTACAGGCAGCAGGTCAGGTCCACGACAGACACGTTAGGAGTGGGAACATGGAAGGCCATGCCAGTGAGTTTCCCATTCAGTTCAGGGATGACCTTGCCCACAGCCTTGGCAACACCAGTAGATGCAGGGATTATGTTCTGGGCAGCCCCATGGCCATCATGCCAATTTCCCAGAATGGCCATCCACAGTCTTCTGGGTGGCAGTGATAGCATGGTCCACGATGCCAAAATTGTCATGGTTGACCTTGGCCAGGGAGCCAAACAGTTGGTGGTGAAGGAGGCATTGCTGACAATCTTGAAGGAGTTGTCATACTTCTCATGGGTCACGCTAGTCACAAACATGGGGGCATCAGCAGAAGGGGCAGAGATGATTATCCTTTTGGCACTACCCTTCAAGTGAGCCCCAGCCTTCTACAAGGTTGTGAAGACACCAGTGGACTCTACAACATATGCAGCACCAGCATCACCCCACTTGATGTTGGTGGGAACTTGCTCCTAGAAGATATAGATGGGCTTCCCATTGACGATAAGTTTCCCTTTCTCAGCCTTGGCAGTGTCATTGTACTTACCATTGATGGAATCATACTGGAACATATATACCATGTAGTTGAGGTCAATGAAGGAGTAGTTTATGACAACAACCTCTACTTTGCCTGAATTAACAGCAGCCCTGGTGACCAGGAGCCCAATACAGCTAAATCCATTGACTCTGACATTTACCATCCTCTTTCAGGGATGCAGCTGCTACTGCAAGAGGTGCTGTGGCTTGACTGTCGAATAGGAGGAGCAGAGAACCCAGTACCATAAATTCTTGATCACATATTGCTTCTTTAAATGTTAGAACATCGACCATTTCTTTTGGATACGGCAATTCTCCTCGATTCCACCTCCCTTTAATACTTTTTTTTGTTTTTCATCTTCAATATTTTGACCTTAGAATTCTTCAGTATTTCATGTTGAGGCTTGCTGTTATCTTCAGTTTTTTCAGTTTGAGAAATGCAGTGCATGTTCTCCTCTTTTGGTTTTATCACTCCAGGTTTCTGTATGTTTCATTATAATGTCTTTGTTTTGTTGATAATACTAAACTTTTCCATTGTCTCTTCCCATACATGTAGTCCATTTTATTCCTGCATATACCATTAGGTGTGGTTCATGTATATAATTGCATTTTGTGCTGTGTAAAAATGGGATTGCAAAGAATGTTATTGTTGTTGTTAGGTGCCATGGAGTTGGTACTGACTCATAGCTATCCTATGCACAACAGACTGAAACACTGCCCACTCCTGGGACAACCTCACAATTGTTGCCACACTTGAGCCCAATAATGCTGTCACTTTCCCAATCCATCCTGTTGGGGATCTTCCT